CACACACACACACACACACACACACACACACACACACACACACACACCAAAAAACAAAAAACCAGGGGCCAGTGAGATAGAGATTAGCAGGTAAAAAGGCAAAAAATGAACTTCTGAAGTTTTTTTTTTTTTTCTTGTTTTGGGTTTGTTTGTTTTTTTGAGACAGGTTTTCTCTGTGTAGACTTGGCTGTCCTGAAACTTGCTCTGTAGACCAGGCTGGCCTTGAGAACTCACAGAGTTCCTCCTGCCTCGGCCACTACACACACTAAGTAGCAAAAGTTGTTTTCTAACCGTCACACACACATCTGCCCTCGAGCACCTGAACACCATATACACGCATACATACACAGAGTCACACAGAAAGAAACAGAGACATACACACAGAGACAGACATGCAGAGAGGTGTAAACATAGAGACAAGGCAACAGGCACACAGAGACAAAAACAGAACACAGAGAGATACAGATGGAGAGAGACACACAGAGAAAGAGGAACACAGAAATATAGATGGAGAGAGACAGACACACAGAGAGAAAGGAGCACATAGCGATACAGATAGAAAGAGACAGACATACAGAAAGAGGAACACACAGGTACTAAGAAGGAATAAAATAAAATGAAAGGGTTGGCAGGATGGTTCAGTGGGTAAAGGTTCTTGCCAACAAGCCTCATGACCCAAGTTCAATCCCTGAGACCCACAGGGTAGAGGGAGGGAACGAAGTCCCATAAATTGTCCTCTGACCTGAACACACATGCCATTAACACTGCACCACACACACACACAATAAATAAATGTAATGAAATTTCAAAATAAAACAAAAAATGAAAAATTCCCAAACCACTGAGAGATGGCTCAGTGGTTAAGAACTCTTCTAGAGGACCCAAGTTCAAGTCTCAGCACCCACATCAGCTCACAACTGCCTCTAACTCCGGTTCCTGGGGATCCAATGCCCTCTTCTGTCCTTTGTGGGCACTTGTATTCATTTGCACAACCCAAACTCAGACACACACACACAAAATTAAAAATAAAATAAGGGCTGGAGAGATGGCTCAGTCATTAAGAAGGCTTGCTGCTCTTCCAAAGGTGCTCTTCCCAGCACCATGTTCAGAGGCTCATAAAGGCTCATAATGGTTCCAGCCCTAAGGGATCTGTTGTCTGCTTCTGGTTTGCTGAGTATCTGCATTCACTCCCCCCCCCCCCATTAAAAAAAATCCCCAAGGCAAATCTGGGCATTGGTGGTACACACTTTTAATCCCAGCAATTGGGAGACAGAGGCAGGTGGATCTCTGTGAGTTCTAGGTCAGCCTGGTCTATAGAGCAAGTTCCAGGACAGCCAGGGCTACACAGAGAAACTATATCTCAAAAAACCATAAATTAATGGAAGGGGGAGGGAGAGTGGGAATGGGAGGAGAGAAGGGATAAGGCTACAACCATGATGTAAAGTGAATAATAAATAAATAAATTTAAAAATAAAACTGAAAAAAGAAAGTATTCTACATATGCTAAAAACAAGAGAGAAAGAAAAAAGAAAAGCCATAAATAAACCAAGTGTGGTGGCACACACCTGTGATCCCAGCACCTGGGGAGGCAGAAGAAGGAGGATCCCTGTGAGTTAGAGGCTGGCCTGGTCTATAAAGGGAGTCCAGGACAGCCAAGGCTACACAGAGAAACATTGTCTTAAAACAAAACAAAATAAAACAAAACAAAACAAAACACACACACACACACACACACACAAAAAAAAAAAAAAAAACAAAGAACATAAACCATAAGTAACCAACCAGGTAAACAAATAAATAATCCCTAAGCAAAACAAAAGCCCTTGCCCCTCCCCAAATCACCTTTGTTGAACTTTGTTGAAAAGCACAAGTCAAAGGTACTTACAAGTGTTCAGACAGAGTCTGGGCTCCTGAAGGTTCTGGGGTGCCATCCCTTGTGCCTGTACTGTAAGCACTCCCATGCAAATGAAGCACCTCTGTGCTCCTGCAGAACCTCACACAAAACGAGCAAACCACGTGCTCCATCTTTGTTGAGATGTTGCTGACTACAACCACCTGAAAGTGGCTCAGGGCCTGCTGGATGAAGTCCTCCTCCTGGATCTCATACAGGCAACTGAGGAGCTCCAGGGAGCCACGCTGCAGGGTGGAGCCTTCACTACGAGCCTTGTCTTGGATCCACAGCAACACTTCCTCCTTGACCTGAGGGGAGATGGTCCAGCCTAGATTCCTCTCCAGGTAGCATCTCATCTCCTCATTGAGGAGACCAAACAGGAAGCGGACAGTGAGGGCCAAGAAGTTCCTTTCCGAGAAGCCATATTCAGCCAGTGCTCTCCTCACGGTCTCTCTGCCATGCAGCACACAGTACATGGCTGCAAAGAATTCCTGGAAACTCAGGTGGATGAAGCTGTAGAATTTCTCACACTTGATGTCCTTCTGGAAGATGTTCATATTGAGGAAGGTCGAGACATCTGCTCCATCTAGGCCGTGTTTCCCAAGGTCTTGCTCCTCAAACAGAACCTTCTGATTCCAGAGGCCCTCTGCAGCCAGAGATACAAGGCCTCTCTGATAGGCTGGAACTTTGAAGGTTGGGGTCCCCGGCTTGGGCTGCATCAGGCTCAGAAGGTAGAACATATAAACTGCCGTGGTGGTCCTAGATGTTTGCCTTAAAAGCTCCCCACTGTCCAGCTGCTGTTTGAGGCAGGTGCAGACCACCCAGGACACCATAGGGACAAAACACATGGTGAAGAGGGGCTCGTTGTCTGTCATGAAACTGTACACTTGGCTCGCCTGTCCGGTGTCATGGAAATATCTGTAGAAGTATTCCCGCCTCTCTGCCTCGGAGAAGCCCAGGATCTCCACGTGCCTGGGGTGTTCCAGCAGGCCGTGAAGTTTCTCCAGAGCACAGGGTCGAGTGGTGATGAGCAAAGAGAGCTGAGGCAGAAGTGACTTTCGGATCAGGCTGCCGAGGATGATTTCTGTGGGACCTTTCTCCTCCCAGCAGGGGCACCAGGGACCCTGAGCATCATGGAAAGAAGGATGAAGCTCATGGAAGCCATCAATGATGAACAGGAGACGATCAGGATCCCGGATGAGGTCCTCGAGGGGTGCTTCAGGTTCCGGCCAGCAGCTGGAGATAAGGTCGTGTGCGCTGCACTGCACGTGGCTTCTGTTCAACTCCCTGCAGCTGATATAGAAGACGTAATCGAACCGGCCTTGGAAGAGCCTCCCATCAGCCCAGTCCAACATCGCTTTGTGGGCCAGCATGGACTTCCCCATCCCTGCTGCTCCTTGTAACACCACCGCGCGTGGTGCCTCAGGGCGTTCTTCGTCTGGCTCGAAGAGGGTCTCTATCTGGATAGGGCTAGCCAGGTGGCCCCGCGTTCTGGCGTGTCCCCACCCTGTATCCAGAAGTTTCTGCTGTGCCCAGATGGGATTTGAGTGTTCTTTTACTAGGACAAGCCGAGTGTATCGATGGCCCAGGTTGACACTTTCGCCTAGTCGGGCGTTGCGGTCTTCCATTAGCCGGAATTTCCTTCGGACATAGTCTTTGTAGGTTGCCCGGGGATCTAGTTGAGAGAAAGGGAAGGTCTGTGGCATATCCACTAAGCAACTTTTTGAAAAGATTTTATTTCTTTTTAATTTAGTTTATTATTACGTTTTAATGTGTGTGGGTGTTTTACCAAAATGCTTGTGTGTGCACCTTACCTATGCTGGTGCCTGCAGAGGCCAGAAGCCATTGGATCCCCTGGGGCTGAAGTTACAGACTTGCCATGTGGGTGCTGGTAATGGAACTGAGAGCCTTTAGAACTGCAACTGTTGCTCTTAACTGCTGAATCCTTCTCTCTAGCCCCTGTTTTTACTTTTGGAATATGTATATGTGTGGGGGAATGTGCACAGAAATTCGAGCTCCTAGAGAGGCCAGAAAAGGGTGTTGAGTCCCCCACTGGAGTTGCAGGCCGGTGGGAGTTGCCTGACGGGAGTGCTGGGACCAGCCTCCAGTCCTCTAACAGAGCAGTAAGCACTCTTCTTGGTTTTGTTTGGTTGGTTTTTTTGTTTTGTTTTGTTTTGCTTAGAGACAGGGTTTCTCTTGTGTAGCCTTGGTTGTCCTGGACTCACTTTGTAGACCAGGCTGTCCTTGAACTCACAGAGATCTGCCTGCCTCTGCCTCCCTGAGTGCTGGGATCACAGGCCTGTGGCTCAGTACACATTCCTAATCACTGAGCCATCTTTCTGACCCCAGCCTTTTTTTTTTTTTTTTTTCCTTAAGACAAGATGTCATGTAGCCTAGGCAGGCTTCAAACTTGCCATATACTCAAAGATGGGTTTACAGGCATGCACCACCACATCCAATTTATAGAGTGCTGGGAATTGAACTCAGGACTTCACAGATGCTAGGCAAGTTCTCAAACAACTGGGCTACATGCCCCACCCCCATCCACTTTTTGTTGTTTGTTTGAGATGGGGTTTCGTGTTGATCAGACTGGCCTCAAACTACCCATGTAGCCAGGGACAACCCTGGCTGACAACAGTACTGAACCTGTTGCTTCTGCCTCTAGCTGCTAGGAATTACAGCCACAAGCCACTTCTCTTTCTGTTCTTCTTTTCTTCCTTCCTTGCTTGCTTTTTTCTTTCCTTCTTTCTTTTTTCCCCATGATCTTGCTCTGTGTCTCAGGCTGGTTTCTAACTTTTCTTGATCCCCCTGCCTCAACACGGATGTCCCCCCAAAGCTGATATAAGCCACCATTCCCCGATGTCATCAGCAAATTACAATGAGTTCAGTGACTGCCAAGCATGGTCTAGCGGCTACTTGTCCTGCCAGGCAGGTCCTTAGAACAGTTTCTAGGTGCAGTCTGAGAACCCTTCTCTGGGGAAGCTGAGGCATTCAAGTGGAGCTACATGAGTACATACACTTTGCATCTGTTGTGCAGCGACTGTTTCTTCTGACTTAAAACATGTCTTCCTCTAAAGAGGCTCATAAGACCCGAGTGATTGATTTCTCTGTCTTGAAACCTGTCTTCCTTGAGAGAGGCTCATAAGACTCAAGGAGCTAAGACACTAGGCTAAAGAAGTTCATGAAATTTACAGGATTCATAAGGCCTCTCCCTAAGCTCATATAAGTAATGCACAATTGCTGGAGAGGAGACTTGTCAGTGGAACTCCCTATCCGTTGAGCCTGCATCTTCAAGGATGCAGCATTCAAGAGCCACAGGGTGGGTACGGGGCTTGAGAGATGATTTAGCAGTTGTAGGTATGTAATGTTCCTCCAGAAGATGTCGATTTGCAGCACAAATTAAGTGTAAACTTGCTACTGTTTCAGCCTCCTGCGATATTGAGATCATGGGCTTTAACCAACACACCCAGCTCCCTGCTTCTCTTCTTCTAGATTGTGACTCATTTGTGAGAAGTAGTTTGGTAGCTATCTCATACTCATAAAGTGGCAAGTCTTACAACTTAAGCTAAGAATTCGTTACCCCAGCGCTTAGAAATTATATGTGGGAGGGTCAGGAGTTCAAGTCTAGCCTCAGCTACATAGTAAATTCTAGTCCAAACAACAAACCAAAAAATTGTATGACAAATGGCTGACATACAGGGGTTGAATGAATCAACAAAGTCGGGTAGGGTGACTCAGCCAGTGGAGGCGCTTGCCACTAAGCCTGACAGCTTGAGTTCAGACCCTAGGACTCACACAATGGAGTGAGGGAACTGACTCCTTCAAGTCCTATGACTTTCGCACATCCAGCAAGGCACACTCCCCACCCCCATGCACACAAAATAAGTTTAAACTTTTTTTTTTAAACAGGGTTTCTCTGTGTAGACTTGGCTGTCCTGGACTGGCTTTGTAGACCAGGCTGACTTCAAACTCACAGAGATCTGCCTGCCTCTGCCTCCTGAGTGCTGGGATTATGGGTTTGCACTACTACACCAGGCTTAAACGTTTTTAAAAGGGGTTGGAGAAATGGCTCCGTAGTTAAGAGCATTTGCTGCTCTTGCAGAGGATCCACATTTGGTTCCCAGCACTTAGGGGGCAGCTCACAACCACCTTTAACTCCAATTTCAAGAGATCCAAGGCCTTCTGGCACATGAATATGGTGCACATACAAACAAACACTCACACACATACAATAAAAATAAATAAATATTCTAAAAAATTTTCAAAGATAATGGTGTTTGTTTACCATATAAACTCTGCATCTATTTCACCTAAGACTCCTTGCCACATGCCAACATTAAATACTGTTTCTGGTTGTGCATGGTAGCAAATGCCTTGATCTCAGCATATGGGAGGCAGAGGCAGGTGGATCTCTGTGAGTTCAAGGTCAGCCTGGTCTACATAATGAGTTCCAGTACAGCCAAGGCTATGTAGAGAGACCCTGTCTCAAATATAAGCACACACATACACAGACATATGCATGTATGTATGCATGCATGTATGTATGTACTGCCTCAGATGGGTTATGGCATAGATGCAACTGGTAGTACATCCAGGAATAGGAACAGGGCTTATAGCTCACCTTTCCTTGAAGCACCAGGGGAGACATCCAAAAGGTAAGCTGATTGGCTCTCAAGGGAGCACAGACCATTATTCGGAGGAACTGCAAGAGATATTTTTGGAGCTTAGCTAGCATTCAGTAGTATTACATTTTATTCTTTCTTTCTTTTCTTTTCTTTTTTTTTTTTTTTTTTTCTTGGAAGCATCAAATTCAGGGCCCTGAGCATGCTGGGCAAGCACTGTGCCCTGAGCTACACCTCCAGTCCTGATAATTGTTGTTACATCAGATACCTTTGTAGCTCTTGCCAACCTGTGCTAGAGTGTCCAACACTCACCTCTCTGTGCTGTGTTGGAAATGGACAGTCTAACTGCAGGGAGAGCAACCCCTGAAAAAATAACAATGTAATTTTGCATGCTGGGTGATGACAGACAGGTCCACAATCAAGCAAAGGGATTTCTTGAGAAAATGAAATTGTGTCTGAGGTAAGATTTTTTTTTTTTTTTTTTTGGGGAAAAAAGCTAGGAAGGAATTTTCTTTAATATGCATAGACACACACACACACACACACACACACACACACACACACTAGTGAATTACAGTACAGCCAAGGCTACGTAGAGAGACCTCATCCAAATATAAGTATAGATGTATTATATATACACAAATTTCTTTCAATATTTAGGAGGTAGAAGCATCAGGACCTGGATTTTAAGCCATCCTTGATTACACAGGGATTTCAAGGCTAGCCTGGAGCAGATGAGACAGTCTTGAACCCCCCACATACACACCCAAAGAAATAGATATAACAAAAATGTAAATAAGCAAATATTCTATACGTAAAAGATTGTTTTCCTCATATATGGTTATGTAATTTAGTGTTTTTCTTTTTTCTGGTTTTATTTTTTGAGACAGGATCCAATTACATAGCCTTGGCTGGGCTGGCACTAGCTATGTAGACCAGGCTAGCCTTGAACTCACAGAGATCTACTTGCTTCTCTCTCTCTGAGAGCTGGATTAAAAGTGGGTGCCATCACACCCAGCTTGGCTATATATACATACATACATACACACACACACACACACACACATATGTGTGTGTGTATTTTTATATATGTATTTATATATACCTACACAATACATTCCTCTGAGCAACAACATCAATGCATACACACACACACACACACACACACACACACACATAAATGTATTACATTTGCTGTTGTGCAGTTGAGAAATGCATACCACAGGGAATGTGTGGAAGTCAGAGGACAACCTTGGAAGTTCCTCTCACTATGTGGGTTCTGGAGATGAAACTAAGGTCCTCAGGTTTGGTGGCTGAAGCCTTTACCCACTGAGCCATCTCACCAGCCCATGTGTTTGGTTTTTGAGGCAGGGTTTTGCTGTGTCATCCAAACTGACCTTCAATTTGCAGTAGTCCACATCCCCACCCCTACCCCTCTCAGTTTCTCAAAGTGCTGGGATTATAGGTGTGTGCTGCCAAGCCCAGTTTAAGAAACTCTTGTATTTTTTGTTGTTGTTATTGTGTGTGTGTGTGTGTGTGTGTGTGTGTGTGTGTGAGAGAGAGAGAGAGAGAGAGAGAGAGAGAGAGAGAGAGAAAGAGTTTAGAGGGCAACTTTGTGGAACTGTTCATCATTATGTTGGTTCCAGGGACTGAACTCATGTTGTCTGGGTTTGGCACCTAATTTAAAAATGGTCTAATGAAATTAACAGTTTACAAAAGAATGAACACAAATGGCCAGTTATTTTTACAAGTGTTCAGCATCTCTAGCCATCAAGCAGAGGCTTGTTAAAACTGTTTTTTTTTAAGTGATTTTTATTTGTTTTTGTTTGTTTGTCTATTTTTGAGTTTTTGAGACAGTGTTTCTCTGTGTAGCCTTAGCTGTCCTGGACTCCCTTTGTAGAGCAGGCTGGCCTCGAATTCAGGGAGATTTGCCCGCCTCTACCTCCTAGAGTACTGAGATTACAGGCATGTGCCGATGCACCTGGCCACATAATTCCTTCATAAAAACCTTTGAAAAAAAAATAATAAACCGAATACCTAGTGCTGTTAAGTAAGTAAATAAATAAGATAGCCTAAAGTGGTGACTCACACATGCATTATCTCAGCACTCAGAAAGCTCAGGCAATGAGATCCACACAGGTTTGAGCCCAACCTGGGCTACATAGTAAGACAGATATATAGATGGATGGATGATTAGATAGATAGATAGATAGATAGATAGATAGATAGATAGATAGATAGCTTTGTAATAACAGTTTTTCACTTTACAAAAATTATTCTTAGATCAGGAGGTGATTGATGACACATGCCTTTAATCCCAGCACTCAGGAGGCAGAGGCAGGTAGATCTCTTTCTTCAAAACCATCCTGGTCTACAAAGGGAGTTCCAGGATGGCCAGGGCTACACAGAGAAACCCAGTCTTGAAAAACAAACAAAACAAAACAAAATTATCATTTACATGTGTGAGACAGCATGAGTTTAGGCGCAGGTCATAATGCAGGTGTTCACAGAGGCCAGAGGGTACTAGAATCCCTGGAAGAGGAGTTGTCCTCTGACACCACAGACAGGCTGTGACACCCAGGTGCTGGCACTCATTCACATGTGCCATACATCCACTATCAGCAATACATAAGTGTTTTTAAAAGAGAATCAAAGTAGAAGGAGGAATATTTGGGAGAGGAAGGGTCAGCAGAGTGAGAGGAAGGTAGAGTAAGGAGGGTGACTGTGATCAACATACATTATGTACACTTAGGAAAATATCCTGATTAGGATCAGAGACACGGCCAAGCCTGAGGCCTGCGTTTCATCCCTGGGACCTACATGGTAGAAGGAGACAATAGATTTTTGCAAACTGTCATACACACACACACACACACACACACACACACACACACACACACACATGCCCTTTAAAAAGACACGGTGCTTTTAGGCAAAAGACAGCATGGACAGAGACCTGCTGGGCTGAATCCACTTCACCGATGTAAAACTAAGAGAATGGGTGTATTCCAAGCAGGGCTCTCCCTCCCTCTCCTTACCCCTCACCAGGTCTTCTCCCTGTCCTCGTTCCCACAAATCCTTCCTGTGGATCCTCTCAAAGGTATTGAGAGCCAGCAGCCAAGCCTCTCTTGTCCCCATATGGGTCACCATCAGCTGGGCCATTTCCAGAGGACTAGCCATCTCCATTCGTCCCCAGGGGATCTTGTCCTGGCCCAACTCCACTGCGGTCCCCAGGTATAATTTGAATTTCTTCAGTTCCCCAGCATCGAGTTCTTCCAGGTAGGTGGTCAGTCGATAGAGGCCATCCCTGGCTGGAGCTGGCAACATGGGGATGCAGTGGCAGGCCAGACGCTCTAACCTTTCTCTGAAAAGACAGTGGCCACTGTAGCATGCCACGGCCTCAATGACCAGGGTTTAGGAATGGGATTGAGACAGAGCCGAGATCTTTCGAGAAAGCAGGCTCCCCCACCCATTACTTCTCTGCTACCTGTGTCTCTCAACAATAGGGTTTGCTTTGAAGGGGAAGTTGGTATGGGGTAATCCCAGGAGCATTTGACTGTAAGCGTGACATGTTGAGCAAGCTTTGCGCTGTTTTCCCTTGACAAAACCATTCTCTTCTGTCTTTCCTCATGTCGTCCTGACTCAGGAAGGTGTGTGAAGACTGCTGTGCCTCTTCCAGGAATTGAGACCCTTGCATGGGGGCTGGGGATGTGGCTCGGTTGGTAGAATGCTCGCCTAGCGCCGCCAGTGACGCCCTGGTTTCCTCCTTATCACTGCTGGGAAAGTGTACTCTCCTGTAAATGCAGTGCTCCTGAGGTAGAAGGAGGAACAGAAGTTCAATGCCTGGCTAAATAGTGTTCAAGACCAATTTGGGCTATGTGAAGTTTTTCCAGGATGGCATGGCTGTGCACACCTTTAATCCCAGCATTTGAGAGGCAGAGACAAGAGGATCTCTGACTCTGAGGCCAGCCTGATCTACATAGTGCATTCAGTCCAGCCAGTGATATATAGTTACACTCTGCCCTTTTTGTTTGTTTGGTTGGTTGTTTTGTTTTGTTTTTGTTTTTTTCAAGACAGGGTTTCTCTGTGTAGTCTTGTCTGTCCTGTACTCACTTTCTAGAGCAGGCTGGTGGTGAACTCACAGCAATCAGCCTGTCTCTGCCTTCCAGAGTGTTGGGACTAAAGGTGTGTGTCACTATGCCTGGCTCAAGACTCTGTCTTAAAAAAAAAAAAAAAAAAAGACAAAAGGGCTGGGGAGACAAAAGGGCTTAGCAGTTTTAAGAGCACTGACTGCTCTTCCAGAGGAAATGGGTTCAATTCCCAGCACCCATATTGTCATGGGTCACAACTGTCTGTAACTCCAAGATCTGACACTCTCACATAGACATACATGCAGGCAAAACACCAATGCACAATAAAGTTAAAAAAACAAACAAAACACAAAAAACCTCATATAGGTGTGGAGGCACATGCCTGAAATCTTGTAGGAGGACTGGAAACTCAAAAATGAGATCCTGTCTCAAAAAAAAACCAAACCAAACAAAAAACCTCAAACTCCTAGAGCTGAAAAGATGGCTGACTAGGCAAAGGGCTTTCTGTGCAAGAGCGAGGACCTGAGTTGATATTCTCAGAGCTTAATGAACCTGGACACACAGGAGTAAGGGAAGGCCAGGGAGTCTTATGAGCACAGCAGCAGAGAAGAGACCTTTTCTCAAGCAAGATGGAAAGATTGACATCTGGTGCTGTCCTCTGCACTCATCCTGCATTGGCTAATTTTATGTCAGCTCCACATGGGCTACAGTCATCTGAAAGGGGGAACCTCCAGTGAGAACATGCCCCATAAGACTGGGCTACCCAGGGCTGGAGAGATGGCCCAGAGGTTGAGACACTGTCTGCTCTTCGAGGGGTCCTGAGTCCAATTCCCAGCAAGCACGTGGTGGTTTGTAACCATTAATAATGAAATCAGGTGCTCTCTGCTGGCCTGCAGGCACCCAGGCAGGCAGAATACTGTATAAATAATAAATAAATAAATCTTAAAAAAAAGATTGGGCTGTACAAAAACCTGTAGAGCTTTTAACTTATTTATTCATTCATTTTATTTTTACTTTTATTTTTGGTTTTCCAAGATAGGGTTTCTCTGCAGACCAGGTTGTCCTCAAACTCACAGAGATCCACCTGCCTCTGCCTCCCTGAGTGCTGGGATTACAGGCGTGTGCCACCATGCCCAGCTGTAATTTAGAGTTTTTAAAGTTGATTTATGTGTATGGATGAATTTTTGCCTGCCTGCATGTCTATGCACTACACTCATGCAGTGCCCAGCGGCCAGAAGAGGGTGTTCTTTGGGGCTTGACTCAGTTATCATGTGAGTACATTGAAGTTAGGTCTGGTGGAAGGGACAACCAGTATTCTTAACCAAGCAGCCACCTCTCCAGCCCTGAAGTTATTTTTTTTTTCTTTTTTCTTTTTCTGAGTCAAAGTTTTTCTGTGTAACAGCCCTGAGTGTCCTGAAACTCAGTTTGTAGGCCAGGCTAGCCTTGAACTCAGAGATGCTCTTCTCTCTGCCCCTCAAGTTCTGGGAATAAAGGCGTGTGCCACCATACCCAGCTTCCCTGTAGTTAGAAATTTTAAACAAAAAATAACACAGAGGTGACTATTTTCCCAGAACTTTCCTCCCAGACTCTCCCCAGCCTTTTGTTAGCTGGTTTGTCTTTTCAGACAAAGTCTCATATAATAGACCCTGCCCTTAAACTCACTATGTAACTCAGGATGACCTTGAACTTCTAATTCTCCTACTGGGTTTGATAGGTACGCAACACCAGGACTGGGAACCAAACTCAAGGCTTTGAACGTTATACAACTGACCCACATCCGAAGCCCATTCTCAGTCATTGTGAAAGACCCCTGCCTCACCCTAAGTTAAACATAGCTATGAGAAACTCTGTAGGCTAGGTGGGGAACTGGAAAATTACTGAGAAACTTAGCTGTGTCACCCACTTGGGATATCTGTGGTCAGGCTGCCCCAGTCATACTAAAAACAGTTTGTGTTAATCACCCTCATAAATATCTGTGAGACTGTTTCAGTTAAGATAGAGAAAAGCAAAATAACAGGTGGCGGGCCACGTCAAGGGGTCATCATAACCCCCTTGACCACCCAGTTCCTGGAATCTTGGTGCCCCTGCCAAACTTTGACGCAAATCGTGGTCTCATGTAAACATACCAATCAGCCCCCTGTAACCATGCTTCTCGCTTCTGTACCAGTGCTTCTGCTCTAAAACCCTATAAAAACCCCAGCTTCCTACCTGGGGGGCGCGAAAGTCTCTCGAATGACTTTTCGCCCCGGGTACCCGTGTATCAAAATAAAAGCCTCTTGCTGTTTGCATCCGAATGGCCTCGTTGTTCCTTGGGAGGGGGTCTCTCTGACGGAAGATACCCTCCGGGGATCTTTCAATTGCTATCCAGCTAGTTCATGCTTCCAAGACCATACTCTATGTTTCTCTGTATTTGAAGTTTGTGTATGTGTGACAGTTTGTTAGTGTTTATTTTGGGTCTCACTTGCGGCTCATCCACATTCTTTCTGATGCTTCTAGCTTGTCCCTCCTGATTGCTGAGCCGTTTAGAGCTGGGATCGCTGTTGAAGCAGTCAAGTGCAGAGCATGGCCTAGTAGCCCGAGACCCTGTTTGGTCTTTGGGTATGCCCTCTGTCTCCTGTAATAATGGGCTTCCTTCACCTGGGAGTGCTGTGCACACTCGCCCTTCTCCAAACAACACACTTCCCAACCTCAGGCTCCCTGTCTCCCAACCTGCACTGGGCTGTGCAAACATTCCTTCCTGACCTCAAACAATCAATGTAGAGAGTTTCTATTCAGTTGCACCCCCAGTGTTGTCTAGTAGGAAGAAATGGAATGTTGATCTGGACTAAACTGGTTTTGGATACGTGAGCTATCGCAAGCTGTGTCCTCAAGTGCACTCTTAGGAAAATTTTTCTGTTTACCATCTTATGCCTATTCATGGTTGGGCATGATAAGAGCAGATGCATTATGGGAAGGGATGCATGCAATAGAAAACTTAAGAACATATACTGATTGAGAATATATACTGCTTAAGAGTATGTACTGCTTTTGCAGAAGACTTGAGTTTAGTTACATCTGGTGATTCACAATCATCTGATGCCTTCTTTCTCCTCTTTGGGTTTCTCAGGACACTACACACATGTACACACACACACACACACACACACACACAATCAAAATGTATAAATAAAATTAAGATTTAAAGGATTATATAACTTAATTTATGAATCATAATAAAAACATACTCCCTCTTGAACCATATGAAAGCTCAGCTGGGCGCAATGGACCACACCTGTAATCCCTGCACTCTGGGAGGCAGAGGCAGGCAGGTCTCTGTGAGTTCAAGGCCAGCCTGGTTTACAAAGTTAGTCCAGGACAGCCAAGGCTACACAGAGAAACCCTGTCTCAAAGACAAACAAATAAACAAACAAAAGAAAGAAAGACAAGAAAAAGAAAAAAGGAAAGCCCAAGCAATAATTAGTGGCTTTGAGTACTGTCATTCACATGATCACTGTCAATTTTGACCATCTTCGTTCCTCTCTAATCTGTATTATTACTTCACTCTGAATTGTTAACTTGCTGCTTTGTGGGCCCTTCTCTTCCTTCCTTCCTTCCTTTCTTTCTTTCTTTCTTTCTTTCTTTCTTTCTTTCTTTCTTTCTTTCTTTTTTCATTAGTTCTTTGTTCAGTCTTGAGATAGGATCTTTTTTTTTTTTTTTGGTTTGTTTGTTTGTTTGAGACAGGGTTTATCTGTGTAGCCTTGGCTGTCTGGAACTTACTCGGTAGACCAGGCTGGCCTCAAACTCAGGGATCTGCCTACTCTGACTCCTGAATGCTGGGATTAAAGGCATGCACCGCTACATCCCGGTGTTATTTTCAATTCTTTGGAACCTGGAAACACCCAGCCCAGACCCTGAATATGTAGTAACACAACTTTGACCCAAGGAATTCTCAATGAGACAAGGTTGTCAGCAGTGCTTCCCAGAAGTCTTTGAGTTCAGAAAGACTTAGAAGCTGAGAGTGATGGCACAATTGAAAGCCTGGCAGTTGAAGGTAGATCCTGGAGAATTAAGACCCCATAGCCATCCTGGGCTACAATGGAGTTCCAGGCCAGTTTTGGACTACATGAAACCCTGTCTCAGCTCCGCACCGTAGAACCCTGTCAGGACTTCAGAGGACATGTAAAGTGAATCTTAAACTCTGAGTGTCTCAACAGTGGAGGAGAAGCACCTTGCAGGTCATGGTTAGACAGAGTGGGG